AAAGTTCATCAGTGCCTGGGCATTGAAGAGTTAGGTATTTATTGTAGTATTCACCATCTGGGCTTGTTTGTACCCATCCTTCTTAGGAAGGCTTTCCAGGTATTTGAAAATACTTGGGTGTTGTGATCTAAGCTACATTTGCATTGGGGCTACCCCAAGCCCAGTAACACTGTAGTTCTTACAGACTTGTAGGGGTACCACAACTTGGTGGTCTTAGATAACATGCAGAATAATTCTTTGGATTACAAGGCAAAGACTCTTGTTCTCTTTGCTTACTTTCTCCCAAACAAATGGAGTCTCTGTATTGAGTTGCCTGGAACTGAAGGTGGGGTGACACAAGCACTCCTTTGGTCACCACTACCGGGACTGTGCTGGCTCAGACCTGAAGCCAGCATGGCACCCTGTAACCATTTCCTATTCCCTATGTTCACTCAAGGCCCTGGGGCTCTACAATCAGCAGATGATGAAGCCAGCCAGGTCTGTGTCCTTCCCTTGAGGGATGTGAGTTTCCTAGGTCCTGGGCAGGTCCAGAGATGCTCTCCCAGAGCCAGGGACTAGAGTTAAAAACCTTAGAAATCTGCATGGTGTTCTATTCTACTGTGGCTGTGCTGGCACTCAAGCCACATGACACAGTCCTTCCCCCTCTTCCCTCCCCTTTCTACGTGCAGAGGAGCTTCACTCCATGGCCACCATCACTACAGGCCTATAGGGAATATTCCCAGGCTACCACTGATGCTCAATTAAGGCCTAAGGACTCTTCCTTCAGCTTGTGGTGAATACCACCAGGCCTGGAACTTATCCCTCAGGGCACCGGCTCCCCTCTGGCCCAGGGAAGGTCCAGAAATGCTATCCAAGACCGAAGACATGGAGTCAGAGACTCCAAGATCTCCCTTGGTCCTCTACACAACTGTGGCTGAGCTGTTACCTGGTTTTTGGTTCTTATGAAGGTGATTCCTTTGTGTAGACAGTTGTAAAACTTGGTCTTCCTCAAAGGATAAATGCTTGAGGGGAAGGATACCACATTTTCCATGATGTGATTATTCTGCATTGCATGCCTATATCAAAATATTGCATGTACCCCATAAATATATACATCTACTGTATACCCACAAGAATTAAAAATTTAAATTTTTTTAAAACCTGGTGTTCCTGGGGAGGGCCATGATCAGTGGAGTCCTTATTCAGTCATCTTGTACTGTCATTCCTCTATCAATATCAATTTAACAAGGATTTATTAGCTATATTATTAACCTTTTTAAAATTCATCAGGCCAAATTAGTACTATCTGCAGAGTTTGTATCAACCATTTCATTCTAGTCATTGAAAAAAATGTATTAATGCTCAAATATACTTCACCTGACTGCAATGTTTTCTTATCTAAGCTCCTATTGGATGAAAAAACTGACGCCAGTGCTTATTCCCTAGGAAAGCACTCCCTAGTCAATAGCTTCCTTCTGAACCCATATAAGAACTTCCCAGGCCATGGGCAATGAAAAAAAATGAATTATTTTGCTCCAGAGCTTTCTTCACTAAGAGGGAGCTGATGAAGCTGTTGGCTGCCAGCTACTATGGCCCCATTTTAGTTACAGGAAATGCTGCCAAGTTGGACTGTATTTCTCAAAAAAAATAGGCTGTTGTCCCCATCCCTTCCCTGACCACCCTGGAAATGTTTTTCTGTGAGAATACCTTCTTGGTCCTGGCAAGTCAGGCAGGTGCTGGTTCTTCTCTGTTTTCTTCTACCCATAGCTAATCCTTGTCTGATACTTTGGCCCCAAGATCACGAGAGCCTGAGTCCAATGTTGGGCATGAACTAGACTCCTTCTCTGTCCCCTACCCAACCAACTTCCACACCAAATCTCCGAGAAAAACCCTGAGAGCTTCACGGTACACTCTGGATGTTGCCACTATTCCCACCACTGTTCCTTTACTTAAATCACCCAAAGAATATGGGGGCTACAAGATCAAAGAGCCATCTGGTTGCCTTCTCACAACAAAGTACACAAGACCAACAGTGAAATATTGTTTTCTTTCTGTTTAATTGCAGTACCATTATTCAAATAATATTGCCCTTTATTTGTTTCTCCTACCAAAATAACATACTCTAACTATTCATAGTTTAAATCAATTTAATGAGCTGGCCTAGGAACCCAACTCATATTTGTATTTCTCCTGTGGTTATAAGAGTATTCAACAATTGCTTATACAAATCAGCTGTGATCAAGGCATTGTCCTCAGTAAACCTAACTATCCTAACTTTGCAAATCACTTTATGCACTTTTGGAACCTAACCCACTTTTAGGAGAAGGACTTCCTGTACTGAATGCTATAAATAAATGAAGTCGGAAAAGTTTAACAGATTTCAGAACGAAGATAATGTTACATATGGGCAAACATTAACGGATGAAAACATAATTAGTATTAGGCCAATTCTCCTTTAAGCAAATTCTCCTTTAAGCATTATAAATATAATATGAACAGCTATTAGTGCTAAAATAAAACATTTGTCAATTATTCATAAGTGTTTCCAATCCTAAAAAAAAATCCACAATAAACAGATGCTACACACTGAGATTCAGAGATAGGTTCTCGACCTCATTCAATCTAATTTTTCTAAGAGTGTCTACTAAAGATTACTCATCACATGTATGTATCTGCCACTATAATTAATAGATATCTTATTCTTCCCATTTTAGGTTTGGCAATAGAAATTTCATTACCAGATAAGCCCACTTTGATTCTGATACAACCAAGGTAATTACTAAATCCATAATAAGGTGGTTATTTGGGGTCAGGATGATGATGAATCCTAAGCTTGTACTTGCTGAAAAGTTAATAATCTCTAGCAAGGAGGGCTAACCTAAAGCTCAGAGAAACACATTAAAATCCTTCTGCATTTGTTATATTTTGGAGGTTTTCGTTGGTTTTTTTTTCTTTAGTCAGACATTTTTGTAATCCTAAACTACAGCAATACTGTCGGATATCCCATAATTCTCCATTATAGTAATAGTAATAGTAGGAGCAGTTTTTTTAAAAAGAAATAGCACTGACATAACTGACACAAATACTCTATGCTTTCCTTTCCTCTCCGTGGGTTCTGCTGCTTTCGCCTTCTAGGAGACATTCATCTGATCTGGAAAGCAGATACAGATGCCTGTCAAAAGGAGCCAGGTTTGTTACATATAATTCCAAAAACTTAAATGATAGGCTTTGTAAATTAATTTACTCTTAATTCAGATGACATAACATAATATCTTCCTGAGATACCATATAACCTTAAACTATAAAGATACATATTTGAGTCTATTTAAAAATGTCTATAATATTAATTTTTAAAATTAAATGTAAAGAGATATATAGATACATAATTGAAATTCAATCTGAAGCAAAGCCCGAAATTGATTTCTCAAAGTAGAGAAAGGGACTCCAAAAGCAGCAAGATTTCTCCTGACAGGTAGGAATCCTATCACTTTTGCTTTATACCTAAGGGATGTTACCTAGTTCTGGGCAAAGAGTAGATGTTCAATAAAGCAAAATTTAAAGGAACTCATTAGTTATTCCTCTAAAAATACCTTTGTGATGTTTGGTTCTGTTTGGTTTGGGTTTTCCTTTTCTTTTGGATGTGGTAGTTAAGCGGGTTAGAAGGAAAGAAGAGAGAAGATGATAGGTGAATTGGAAAAGACCTCCAGGGCAGAAGTAAGCCAATGATTAAAAAAAAAAACAAAACCTGTCAATAATTTAGAAATGAACAATTGCAAGACTGAATTGAAAGGACAGGATCTGTGGGGAACTGCCATACCCAGACCTAATCTTGACAATGTTCTCTCCCATTTGGTAGGCACGAGAACAAGGAACAGATAACGACCCTTGTGAAAATCCTAAGCAATATCCCCTGCTGTGGTTCACTTCCCTAACCAGAGAAAACATAATTTTCTACTTTGTCTTCTTTAGAAGAGTGAAGTGAGCACATCTTTTGCACTGCTTATCTTTGAAAGCTCAGAACTATTTATGTTGATTTGTATACAATAATTATTTACTTAATTAACTAGCCCTCAGCTAGATTGTTCTTTCAGTCCTTAACAAGCAGAAAAGTATATATTAAGATTCCTCTTCAGAGGAAAAGAAATAGGACCTATTGTTTACACTAGAACATATTGAACACAGTTTTCCACATGGCTTCTGCAATGAGATTTCACCTAGTTCCACAACAAGGAAGGAGAAATTACTTTGATATAAGAGCTCAGAGAAACTCAGACATCGCAGATGTATCTATCACTGAAAATTCAGAAATTTTAAAATTTAGTTTATCCTAGTCCAGGCGCGGTGGCTCACACCTGTAATCCCAGCACTTTGGGAGGCTGAGGCGGGCAGATCACGACGTCAGGAGATCGAGACCATCCTGGCTAACACAGTGAAACCCCATTTCTACTAAAAATACAAAAAAATTAGCCAGCCATGGTGGCAGGAGCCTGTAGTCCCAGCTACTCGGGAGGCTGAGGCCGGAGAATTGCTTCAACCCAAGAGGCAACCCAAAAAAAAAAAAAAAAAAATTAGTTTGTCCTTAAAGCCAGTATCTTTAGTAAAATTCTTAAAAGTAACAAAAAGAAAAAATATATAGAAAATCTGTACATTCCCCACAGAGATCGAAGTTAACCTTAAAATAGAATAAGCACAGTACTTAGGGTTACAAATACTTTATTTAATAGGTTAACAGAAATGTATTAAAATTTAATGCTTATGGTACATTAAGAACTTTCCCTTGTGATTCAGGAACTAAAAATCCAAAACCAACCAATTAATCAATGAATAAAGAGAATTTTTGAAACTAGTTTAATGAAATATATCAAGCTCTAAATGCAAAAGACCTTCTTTTACTCTGGTCACAGAAATATTCACGTCAAAGGGATAAAGTGAATGTATGCAGCAAGCAAATGAGCTGAAAGACAAAATGTACCATTCTTTTAGGACAGCAGATGAAGAGTCTAGCCCACTAGCCCACTCACCAGATGTCCGACTTTGTGTCATAGCCTTGGTGTTTCAAAGCCTCAGGACTCATATAATGGGGAGTTCCAGTTAACGTTGTGGCCAGGTCACAGGATCCCATTAGGAGTCGAGAAACTCCAAAATCTCCTTGAAAAAATAATTAATTTTTATGAATACTTTAAGCCAACAGAAAATTAGCCCTGGAAATTAACAACTGAATGAGTGCCTAATTTGACCACTTTATTATGTAGTGGTTCATAGCAGTTTAACAGGAAAGAGAAGTAATATCTCTTAAATTACACAACGCTGGTAAATAGCTTTAAAAACGTAAGTTTTATAGGAGAAGGAAGACTTTGAGCCAGGAAAGTGAATTATGTAAGCTAAAATTCTTTACTTCTGGAATTATGGGAAACTAGACAATTTGACATAAAAAGCTATTTCAAGTCTGAATAATGGCAAACAGAATGATTTTGGAAAAGCTAAATAAGATGATATACAATGTCACCTGACGGGGGAAGAATTTGTTCTTAAATTTACAATAAAGGAGAGTTTTAAAGAAAAGATCTGAGACTATTTAAGAACATGACTATAAAAATTTGAATCTATCAGCTTTTTTATACTTGCCTAACTAGTTGCACGCTTTTATTCCTTCCTTCCCCAAGAACACCCTATATGATGATTAGATGATCCAGTAGCTGGTATGAGGAGAGGTACAGTTCTGAAGAACTAAAGGTTAACAAAGCCATTATATCAACATTTTAATTATCTATAACCGCTTATTGCTTGTGATGAAATAATATAAATGAGAAACCTGTAGTCACTCATCAAACCAGTAAAATGACTCTAATAACTTGTAAAGTGCCTGGCATGACACAGGGAACTCAGAGTATATTTGAAAATCTATCAAATATGTGGTAAATGTGTATACCTCAATTTATATCAATACTCAGAAACAAAATAATTAGGTTTTGTTGGGCCCATCAGGTAAGAAACCTGGGAAATTTAGTGTTCATTTCAGCAGCACACATACTTAAACATTTGAGAAATTTAAATAAACCAATGATTACTCTAACACTTCCATGTACCATTTACTTAAATTTGATATGATAATATCTAGAATATACTGTTCTGTGTTTTTGGAATTCATACTTTTTAAAATCTTACCAATTTTAAGTAGATTATTTTTCAGAAATATATTCTTTGACTTTAAGTCTCGATGAAGTATCCTCCTACAAAAGACAAAAAAGATACACAACTTCATGCAGAATATAAAATTTTTAAATCCCCATGTAAATAATATATATTGTTGCATGTGATTTATACATAAATATATACTCTCATAGATATATCTTTCAATGTTTAAAAGCTACAAAGTCACAACACTTTCCAGTTTCCCTGTTTGAGGAAACAAAAGTTTTAAAATAAAGATTCTAAAGGGTGGGGAACATGTGGTTTGGAGAAAGGTGATATGCTTTCAACTATTTCAGTAGGCTATATTTTATTATGTTTTTGTAGCGTAACCTACATAGTACTATATCCAGTAACCATATCCTCAATTGATAGACCAGTTTGTAATCTATTATTACCCAAATGTCCAAGTTTTGTATACTTGTGAAATAATAATGTTGTTGATGACATTTAAGAATAGGTAACATTTATTAAGTATGACTATAAGCCAGTACTGTAAATTATGTCAGTTAAGACCTTTATTTTATGGCATTATGAAGAACTAGAAAACTTGAAAATCTTTACATAAAAAACTAAAATGCTGAATAAAGTATACAAATATCTTCATATATGCACAGTTGAGCTCACATAAAAATGAGAAAAATTGCCTGAGAATTATTCAAAAAGAAAATGAAAGTCATTCTAGGCCATAAAACATTAACAAATTTGAAAGAAGAGAAATCATACCATTTCTGCTCTCACATCAAAATGGAATCAAACTAGAAATTAATAACAGAAAGAAAACTGGAAAATCACAAAATATGTAAATACAAAACCACACACTTCTAAACAATGAAGAAGAAATCTCAAGAGAAATTTTAAACTATTTTGAACTAAATGAAAACGAAAACACACTTTATCAAAATTTGTGCGATATAGCAAAAGCAGTGCTTAGAGGGAAATGTATAGCATTTAATGTATATATTAGAAAAAAAAGGAAGATCTAAAATCAGTTATCTAAGCTTCCACCATAGAAAACTAGAAAAGAAAAGCAAATTAAATCCAAAGTAAGGAGAAATACTACAGCAGAAATAATAAAATTGAAAACATGAAACCAATAAAGAATATCAATAAAAATAAAAGCTGGTTCTTTGAAAAGATCAATACATCAACCAGCCTCTAGCCAGCCTCACTAAAACAAAAAGATAGAAGACAAAAACTATTAAAATCAAAAATGAAAGAGAGGGTGTCACTACAGATTCCCGTGGACATTAAAAGAATAAAAAAGCAACACTATTAACAATCTATAACCACAAATTTGATAACATAGATTATAGAACCAATTCCTTCAAAGACACAAGCTGCCAAAAATCACACGAGAAGCAGGCAATTGAATAGGCCCATCTTCATTAAATAAATTCAATCAATAATTAATAAGTTTCCAAATAAAAAACACCAGGCCCAAATGGGTTCACTGGCAAATTCTACCAAATATTTAAGGAAGAAATTACACCAAATATCTATAATCTCTTTCAGAAAATAAAAGCAGAGGAAATACTCCCTAACTCATTTTAAGATGTCAGCATCATCCCAATATTAAAACCAAACAAAGACATTACAAGAAAAGAAAACTAAAAACCAGTATCTCTGATGAATGTAGATGCAAAAATCCTCAATGAAATATTAGTAAATCAAATCCAACATTGTAGGCCAGGTGCAGTAGCTCATTCCTGTGGTCCAAGCACTTTGGGAGGCCGAGGTGGGCGGATCACCCGAGGTCAGGAGTTTGAAACCAGCCTGGCCAACATGGTGAAACTCCATCTCTACTAAAAATACAAAAGTTAGCTGAGTGTGGTGGCAGGTGTCTGTAATCCCAGCTACTTATGAGGCTGAGGTAGGAGAATCGCTTGAACCTGGGAGACAGAGGCAGCAGTGAGCTGGGATCACCCCACTGCACTCCAGCCTGGATGACAGAGCGAGATGCTGTCTAAAAAATATACATATTATACACCACAACCAAGTGGGATTTATACTAGGTATGCAAAGCTGCTTTAACATTTGAAAGTCAATTAATGTAATCCATCACATCAACAGAATAAAGAAGAAAAATCACATGAAAATATCAATAGATGCAGAAAAAGCAATTGACAAAATCCAATACCCATTCATGACAATAACTCTGATAAACTGGCAATAGGGAATATTTACAAGAAACCTACAGCTAACATCACACTGTACAATGAGAACCCTGAAGTTTTTCTTGATATCAGGAACAAGGGAAAAATGTCCCCTCTAATCATTTATTTTCAACATTATACTGAAAGTCCTAGCTAATTAAGTAAAACAAGAAAAAGAAGTACAAAAGGTACAGAGATGGGAAAAGAAAAAACAGACTCTCTCTGTTCACAGATGATACGATCAGCTAAGTAGAAAATCCAAAAGAATCAATTAAGAAAACCTCCTGGAATTAAGAAGTAATTATAGCAATGTTGCAGAATACAAGATTGATATACAAAAATCAATTGCTTTCATATATACCAGCAATGAACAAGTAGAATTTGACATTAAAATTAAAATATACTTACATTAGTACCCCCAAAATGAAACACTTAGGTATAAATCTAATAAAATAGGTACAAGATCTATATGAGGAAAACTACACAACTGTAATGAAAAAAAAAATCAAAGAGGAACTAAATAAATGGAAAAATAATCCATGTTCATGGATGGGTAGACTCAATATTGTCAAGATATGGATTCTTTCCAAATTGATCAATAGATGCAATGTAACCCCAATCAAAATCCCAGGAAGTTATTTTGTAGACATTGATAAACAGATTCTAAAATTTGTATGGAAAGGCAAAAGACCTATATTAGGTCATTTGAAGGAGAACAACAATGTTGGGGGACTGATACTACCTGATGTCAAGACTTTCTATAAAGTACAGTAATTAAGACAGTATAGTATTGGGGAGGAAAAAAAAAGATCAATAAAACAGAATAGGGAGCCCAGAAATAAAACTGCATGAATACAGTCAACTGATCTTTGACAGAGAAGCAAAGGCAATGCAATGGAACACAGTTGAAACAACTGGGCATTCATATACAATAGATGAATCTAGACACAGACCTTACAGCCTGTGCAAAAATTAACTCAAAAATGAATCACAGGCCTAAAAAATGTAAAATGTAAAACTATAAAACTGCTAGAAAATAATATGTGATAAAATCTAGATGATTTTAAGTTTGGTGATAACTTTTAAAATAGAACACCAAAGGCACAATCCATGAAGTAATTGATAAGCTAGACATTATTAAAATAAAAAATTCCTGCTCTGCAAGAAAACACTGTCAAGAGAATAAAAAGATAAGCCATAGACTGGGAGAAAAGATTTGCAAAAGACATATCTGATAAAAAAGACTGTTGGCCGGGCGCAGTGGCTCATGCCATGTAATCCAAACACTTTGGGAGGTTGAGGCGAGCAGATCACAAGGTCAGGAAATCGAGACCATCCTGGCTAACGTGGTGAAACCCTGTCTCTACTAAAAATACAAAAATAAAATTAGCCAGGCATGGTGGCGGGCGCCTGTAGTCCCAGCTACTTAGGAGGCTGAGGCGGGAGAATGGCATGAACCCAGGAGGTGGAGCTTGCAGTGAGCCAAGATCACAACACTGCACTCCAGCCTGGGTGACAGAGACAGACTCAGTCTCAAAAAAAAAAAAGATTGTTATCCAAAATATACAAAGAACTATTAAAACTCAACAATAGGAAAGCAATCTGGTTTTAAAATGGGCCAAAGACCTTAACAGACACCTCACAAAAAATGATATACAAATGGCAAATAAACCTGAAAAGATGTTCCACATCATATGTCATCAGAGAAATGCAAATTAAAACAACAATGAAGTACCACTACACACCTATTAGAATGGCCCAAATCCAGACACTGACAACACCAAATGCTCACAAGGATGTGTAATAACAGAAACTCTCATTCACTGCTAGTGGGAATACAAAGTGGTTCAGCCACTTTGGAAGACAGTTTGGCAGTTTCTTACAAAATGATACAAATGCTTACCACATAATCCAGCAATCATGTTCCTCGGTATTTATTCAAATGAATTAAAAACTATGTCCACACAAAAACCTGCACAATGGTGTTTATAGCAGCTTTATTCATAATTGCCAAAACTTGAAAGCAACAAACACGTCCTCCAGTAGGTGAATGGTTAAATAAACTGTGGTACATTCACACAATAGAATATTATTTAGTGCTAAGAAGATATGAGCTATTAAGGCATGAAAAGACATAGAGGAAACTTAAATGCATACTACTAACTAAAAGAAGTCAGTCTGAGAGATCTATATATGTTTCCAGCTATATAACAATCTAGAAAATGTTAAACTATGGAGACAACAAAAAGATAAGTGGTTGCCAAGGTTTAAGAGGGAAGGAAGAATGAGTAAGGAGAGCACAGATAATTTTTAGGGTCATGCAACAACTTTATGGTACTAAAATGATGGTTACATGTCACACATGTGCCCAAACTCAAAGAATGTACAGCACTAAGAATAAAGCCTAATGTAAACTATAGACTTTGACGATAATGATCTGTCAATGTAAGCTCATCTGTTATAACAAATGTATGGCTGGTAGCAATGCTGATAACAGAGGAGGCAATGCATGTGTGGGAGCAGGGGGTATAAGGGAAATCTCTGTACCTTCCACTCAATTTTGCTGTGAACCTAAAACTGCTTTAAAAAATAAAGTTTATTTTAAATTTTTAATCAGAGCTTTGAGTAGATTCAATAAACTTTGATTTCAGGGTCCACAAAGGAAGAGGTATCTTAGTAAAAAACTAAAGCTTTCAGCTGAAAGCTCTGAAAAACTTCTTCATAGAAATAAAGGTAAACTAAAAATAGACCAAACCTCCGAAAGCCTACAGCCTACAGTTAAACTATTTCAGTTCCTGATTAGATCAAGGTGATCTGCCCTAAATATAACTGTCAGTCAGAGGAAAAAAAAAAATAAACCCTTTCCAGAGAAAGATAATATCATC